TCCTCTCCTCTCCTCTCCTCTCCTCTCCTCTCCTCTCCTCTCCAGTAGTACTACCAAGGATATTTACTTGTAGACTCAGTAGTCATGAGTCCCTCAGACTTGTACGCACGAATTTATTTGAAATTAATTTCACTTCATTTGTTGACTTTAAAAACTAACTTTGAGTCATTCATTGGAAAACTGTCACTCTTCCCTCGCCTACAAATATGCAACACACATCCGGTTGCCATGGGCAACGGCACTTCGTGCAACTTCCGCCGTCATTCACTCTCATAAATCAAACAGCAGGCATGCAAATATTTCCTCTCTCGGCTTGCGATCGTACAACTAATGTGTTACCATAAATGTGTGTTTTTACTTTTATGTAAAAGTGCCAAACCCAAGAAAACATATCCATCTGCGCTTAAATTATTCGGAAACTGTTAAATGTAATCATTTAATTTTATGGTTTATTTAATTATGTTGGGCGGTGATGTGTGATGGCTTCGCGTAAGTTGCTTGCCAGCTTGCCTTGACGTACAATCCTTGCTCAGCGAATTTTGCAGAAGTTGGGTTGAGCAAAAACAAAAAAAAATAGAGTACGAATGTTTGTTTTTAATTCAAATAAAAACTTGTTGTAAAGTAAACACTCCTGCACATTCGCAGGCACACAAATGCAGTAATTTGCTTATGTACATAATTGGCCGGGCGCCAGCTGTAAACCACAAGCGTTGCGGCTAATGGGCGTAGCCGCAGCATTTAGAGTTTTCGAAACTACTACATAAGTACTCGCACATCAGCATCATTAAAATGTATGACATGAGCACCGTATGTATGTATGTGTGTATTCTAATATGATGTGTTGAAGTTTTTAATGTGCGCTTTGTGATATTTTTATCCTTTTTTTATTTTTCCGAGGCTTCAAATTAATTAGCTCCATTCATACGCAGGTTCGCATGATGCGGTGAAAACTTGCAAATTTTATATTTTATTATGCTAATTTTGGTCGTCAGCAGTAATTTTTTTTTGTGTTTATCAATGTTTATGTGCGTTACCTTTGTTGTTTTTGGCTATCAAATTTCCATTCTCACAACGTTCATGCTTGCGGTTATTCAGGGGATTTTAAGCGTTCAACACACTCCAACGCCGACGTTTGATCCCCAAAGAGTTGATGCTTAGTAGCCGGCAAAGTCATAACTGAATCCATTGTAGTCAGAATTCGCCCGAAATCTACGCATGTACATATGGATATTCTCATTCTGCTGTGCTTACAAAGAGAGAGAGAGCGAGAGATAGAGATCCGGGATACCTTTGCGCAGTGGTTGTTCTAAGGAAGAAGAATTAGAGTTCGACTTTCTGGAGAGAACTACTCAGTCCATATAACTATGTATAACGGACTACCAGATATTGCGCAGTGGTACTTCAACGGATTATTTCACAAGTTGTTTGAGAACTGCATACTTGAAATGATAACTAGACTTTTTAAATCTAAATGTTGCAAACTTGTAGGGTAGGCGCATTCTTTCCTAATTAGTAACAAGGCGAATACAAAGCAGCCAAATACTTGTTTCATCAAGAATATATTGACAATAAATTATAGACATCGGAATATTTCTAGCAAGAAATTCTCATGATTTTGGCGTTTTTGAGACATTTGTAAGAAGCAAAGTTAACCACCGAAAGCATTGTGAAATCGAACAATCTCAAAGAACCCAATAAGCGCCCCAGAATAGGAAAAGTGATGATAAAATTCGAAATGTCTTGAAAATGTTCAAAAATTCCACAAAGAAGAGCAGGAAATGCAGGACATAGCCTCAGTGACTACGGAGACCGCAACTCAAGCAAGCCCACCATAGAAACCACAAGACACCGAAGGTCCAGATCTAGAGGCTTTATCACTAAAGCGTGTCCGCACAACGCTGGAGCGCGCTCAACGATCTAGACCTGAGGAAGCATGAGCTCAACGATGGAAGTGACAGCGACCTAAATATATAGAATTTGAATGAGACAAGAAACAGGACTGGAACCGCTCCACGAAGGTCAATACCGCCCATGTACACTGGATGTACACAGTACACAGTAGCCTGTGCTAAACAACACTTTGTCCAGAGGCAAGCTGGAACGAGTTGAGAGGATGGCTGCCATGCTCGTCACAGGAGCACTGCCCACTTCATCCACCAAATCTCTGGAAATAATGTTAAATCTTCCACTTGTGAATCTCTATGGCAATTATCAGGCCAGCTGCAGTGCGGTAAGATTAAATTTGATCCAGCCGTGGAGGGACCTCAGATTCGGACACGCAAAAGTACTCGTAACTGTTCTGGATAAACTACGACAGTTGGATTATACCACTCCTCTACCTTGTTAAGACAAGAAATTTTCCATAAGAATCGCAGAGAGGAACGAATGGGAAGGGCCCAAAGACTTAAACCCAGTTTCTACGGCTATATAAACAGAGTGGGTAGTGGGTTTTTCTCTGACGAACTGGCGCTAATGCTCAGTTTTCGCTTACGGATTTATTATAGCGTTTCTAAATAAGAGTTACACGCCATAACGGAGGCGGCTCGTTGGCGCATAACCTCTGCTCCTACAGGACGGCCTAAGGCTATTTATTCTGACAGCCAGGCTGCTACCAAATCTCTCAAATTTAACGGAACAATGTCCAAAGTAGCCAAGAAGATTCTCAACTTGCTGGCATTTAAATGCTCCTTGACTATTGTATGGATCCCTGACATAGGCCTAGGAGGGAGACGGAAATATCGGAAGTCAATTCTGCTTAGAATGATGGGATACATACCCCTAACCTCCTGTAAACACAGACTAAAGGCAGAACTTATCGAGGTGGAAACCACCTGCCATACTACCAGGCAAATTTGGACAAAGATTGATGTAAGGTGATCGACAGCTCTCACTCAGCTGGACCGCTTCTCTCTCATTATTTATCAGGGTAATCACCGGACACTGCCTGATGGGCACAAACGAAAAAAGGTTTGGATACCCCACCAACTCGATTTTTTGTGCTATATAAAACACACTCGGCGGTTCAATTAAGTACTAAGGGAGGGAAAAAAGAAATGGCTTCGGCCACTGGTATCACAACGGGATTTTTTAGCCAATGTATGCTCCGTGCTCTAATGAACAGAGATGAGGCGCCGGCCACTATTAGAGTTTAATACTAACCTTATTAGAGCCTTCGAGATCCGTGGGTCCTGCCGATCCTTATGTCCTCATATGGCAAGAAAATTGCAGACTAAATTTTTTACTAGTTTTATAAAATTTCTCACTAAACTACAATACTTTGGTTATTGATTTTAATTCAGCAGAAGTTTTTTTTTATAAATTTAAATGTCAGACACGCCAGGGCGTATGGGTATTAATTATCCTAGTGGTTACATGAATAGGGGTATTCTCTGAGTCTTGCAAAGCCCTTGCACGGTGCACGGATTGCACGGTTTGCAAAGCTGTCCCATACGAAAACCGGTTTTTACCGTGCAATCCGTACAATCTGTGCACCATGCAAGGGCTTTGCAAGACTCAGAGAATACCCCTAATGTATGCCGCTGCCACCTTGACATGTCGTCGTCTCAGAAAACGGATGTCGAATGTTACAAAACACGGTTTTGAGAAAATTGACTTTGAAGTTTAAGGTCGAATTAATCCGAAACTGTACGGTAGATTTTTGTAACTTTTGAAGGAGACGTAGTTGGTGTTATTAGTTTTGATTTCCCATATTTTTACATTTAATATCTCTTAACGTTAATGAGAAAATTTACTTTTCATTCCGTATACATTTGTCGTAAGTAGCGTTTACTCACCACTTTGTTTTGTCCACAGAACATACGACAATAGTAAAGTATCTATTTCAA